CAAACCAGTGCCAAGGTACCCAGTGCCAGCTGTGATCTCTCCAGGCACCAGGCACTCACGTGGAGCACACGCATGAATGCAGGTTAGACTCTTACACACATATAAAACAGATGAATCGGTAAAGGAGAGAATTAGTTGTATATAACTGAAGCAGCTCAGTCTTTTGGTCTGTTGTGTGATGTTTTTGTTGAATTTAGTTCTGATGTAGCTGTCAGAACAAAGTTGAGAGATTTGTAGGGTACATTTAAGAAGGAAACTACTTCTTTTAAAAAAGAAAAAAAAGTAAGAGGTTCTATCCATCACAGATAGAAAAGAGAACTCCCCCCCCCAAGAAACCCCCACTCATTTTTAAGGCTTTCCACGGGCCCCATATTATCCAAGTAATCTATGTTTTAAGCCAAAAGCTATAATCTGGGAGTTGCTATGTTGAAGGGTTGCTTTTTGCTTTAAAAACAAACACATTCTCCGAGTTCCTCCTCCATATTGTGCCAGTGAAAGCCATTTCTCTTTGAAGATCTGAGAGTGATGAGCATGAAGTCCAAGGCTGCCGGAGTGGACAATCCTGAGAGAACCTGGCGCCATTCACTGAGCTGTGGTTGCTCCAGCAGGGCCACTGGGAGGAAGCCGGGCCTTTGGTGTAGTTCGCAGCTGACTTTGTGTGCATGTCTCTGTTCAGTGTGTTGCTTTGAAACCTGTGAGAGGCCTGCTGGCTGAGAGTTTTACCGTCATCCCGTGACCAGTTGTCAGAGAGAACCGTGGTCTGCAGCTTGTTGATTTTAGAGAACTATTCTCAGAAGCCCTTTTTGGAAGGAGATAGAAGCCAGAGGAGTACCAGCAGCCAGACTCTGTGCTCCGTGTTGATGTGGATGCTTTGGAAAATGATAAGTGGTTCTGTGGGACCATCCGAGGGGGTCGGATTACAGCCTACTGTAAAGGTGAAAACAACTAACAATCTATGATAGGGATGTCACATGCCCTCAGGTCTCCCTCCAAGCAGTCATGGAGAAAAGATGAGTGTTTCTCTCCACACACTCTTCTCTGAGATGGAGGTTGTAAAACTTGTAATCTCTCAGTGGCTCATTAATTCAGTTTCTGAGTGACTAGCAGGTGCAGACTTGTGATTTAAGGTGGTTGTCTTGTTGAGACTGAAGGGCTTTAAAAACAGATAGTTACCACCTCTGGTGAAGGCTGTGGCAACAGCTAGTTAAATTCAAGTGCCCGGTTACATTTTTCTCAATTTGAAAGTCATAGGCAAAGAAGGACACTAGACCAAAGCCAAGGAATATAAACCGTTGTCACATGGTCATGTGCTGCTGTTTTATCCACAAAGAATGCACATGCCATGGCAGAGGATATTTTTATAGTATGCAACTTGGATGACTCTTTGAGTCAGGTGAGTGGGTGATTCTAGGCAGAATAAAAACTGAGTTTTCAGCAAGAAGTGAGAATCCATATTGAGAACAGGAGCGAAGCCAAGAGTACACTTGGGCAAGGGGAAGATTATAGGAGAGGTTGGATGGTGGTGCTGGAGAGAAGGCATTTAATCTGAAAGGACTAGACATGGGGCCCAATAGGAAAAGGATTTCTCTCTACTCCACAGGCCAGACTTGCTCAGTCTGGGTCTGGTGGGGATGAACTGACTCCTAGGGATTCCCAGCCATGGGGCTTCAGAAGAGCGCCCTCTATGTTAGGCCTAGCGCAATTAATTGAGCACTGGGAGATGATTGTGCTTAAAGCATTCAGACGGATAGGACTTTATTCCAGGATGCATGCTAGTGAGGTTTTGGTATAGTCAAGCAAACTCTCAGTCTGTTACTTACTGCAGAGCACCGAGTCAGTGTTTCTTACCAGCAGACGAGAGCAGAAAATGTCTTCATAGATTTCATTTCCTGTCTAATTAAGATAGGGTGACAGAACCCAAGTGTGAGACCTTCCCTAGGGGGCTGGCAGGAAGGTGATGTATTTTTACACAGCCTTCTTTCTGCCTGTAAAGTCACTAACTGGCATCTCTCAAAACACTGCTGGTTTGGCTCACTTAACCAAGGTGGGCAGGAGTGGCAGGACTGAAGTTCATGCATTCCTTGGGCTTGGGCGGCCAGTGTGACGGGCAGATTGGAGTGTCCACAGCTATGGAGTTAAAGGTGTGTGGCGTGCAGGATAACTGAGTGCAGCTCTGTGCTGCATGGGTTTCAGGGCCTAAAGCAGAGAGTGGTTGCAGAAGGGTCAGAAGTTCTGTGACTCCTTTGTCCCAGTCAACAGAACTAGCTGCAGCTCTGTGAACCCGGTGCTGTTCTAGGACTCCGGAGACGGACTTGGTTGGAAGTTCTTTGTTAGAGATAAGGGTTGGGGTGTTCTCTGCATGTGGAAAGGTCACCCAGATCGATGGCACTGCCAGAGGCAACCCGGAACCACAGGGCAGAGCTGGAACAAAAACAGACAGTAGTTAGTGTCTCCCGTTTTCTTTGAAGTTAGAAGGCTGAAGTAGACTTTCCCGGAAGTGGCAGGAACTCAGCTCATCCATTCTTGTAATATACACCCTTGTTGAGCCCGCTAGCTGCACCTGTCTAGGTCTGGCATACCGCGGCTCATTCACTCCAGGAGCCATGTTGATGGCTGGCGGTCATATTTGCCTGGTCTATAAAAATTAGAAGGCTTCAGGAAAAGCGAATAAAACTGATAGTAATTTGACAAATTAGAAAGAAGTGGCAGAAATGACTGGGTGGCTAAGCGTACTTTCTTTCCGCAGAGGAGATGCTGTGGGGTTGTTGCAGTTCCTCCTTCCAGATCCCCAAATAAGTTCCTGTAGTACTGACCCTGGCTTAGAGCCATATATGGAGGGGATTCTGGGAAATGTAGTTTCTTATTAACCAAGCCAACCCCAGCACAAAATCCCACATTTATGCTATGAAATGTTTGGTTTTTTTAACTTATTGTTTTGGAAACTGGGAAAGACATGCAGAACTATTTCTGCTTAAAACTATCTGAAAAGTTTGTTGGTATACCAAATAAATTCGCAAATATTTAATTTGATTATATAATTGTTTTCTTTAGGTAACCTTATCTACTTCTGAAATGGCATAATAGCTTAAGAAATGGGACTGATTTGATCATATCCTCATCTCCTGAAAACATTCTTGTAATTTGACAATCAGTTTGAATCTCATTATGCAAGATTTTCTGAAATTACCCTGCATAGTGCCATCTAGTGGTAGATAATTTACTTGCTTTTGGACAGTAGTTCATTTATTTCCCTTTTAATCATGCTTCATTTATTAGAGATATTTAAAGGTACTGTCTAAACCAAATATTTACAGATGTAAAAAGGACTAGAGAAGGAAAAACTAACTGGAAAGGATTCTTTCTTTCCAGGTTTTCTTGTATAGCAACACACACACACACACACACACACACACACACACACACACACACACACAGCAAGTTGTCCTTTGTTTACCTGACAACAGTTTGAACATAGGCATAACATCATTTTTTGCGTATGAAAGTCCTATGCTTGTTCCAGAGGAATGACGTTAAGAGACAAGCCTCGGCTTTGAAAGCAGGCACGCACAGGCCTTGTGTTCTGTAAGTGCGATCTGCGGAGTGCCATTCTATCCCTTTTGAACAAACCAACTCCTTAACCATTCACGGACTGTGATGTCTCATGACAGAATTTACCTTTGCTGCACTCCCCATCCAGTGTGCAAGCCCCTCCACCCTCCTGATTGTGATGATAATTAAATTTTTGCATAATGCTCAGCATTTATGTTGCGTTGACTTGGAAATAACGTTATTCACAGCCAAGTGTTAAGATCTGTAGTTAGCTTTTCTCTCCATAGTTTTGTTTGTTTGTTTTTAGTTAACTCTTGTGTTTGGGGGCATTGTTTATCTAGATATGCTTAACACTTTAGTCATTCCTGAACTCTTCCCCAGACTTAAACAATGTTGCTTATGGCCGGGTGAAACAGACAGTTGAGGTTCTGTGTTGACCAGGTCACTCGGGGATAGCAGCTGCTGGCCAGCACTAGGCCACCCTCTGTGGCCCAGTAGTCTTTTGCTACTAGCTGTGGTGTCTTTGTTGCCTCCAAGAGAGGTTGTGGGTCTTAGGGTTCGGCTGGAAGTAGGACCCTCTCTGTGTGGCTAAGGCCTCAGTCAAGCGGGATGGGGGATCTGCAAGGCGGAGGAGGCACTAGTCACTTTCGATAGTGACTTGCTATAGAGAGATGGAGTGGGTGAATTTTCTGGTATTTCAGTAGAAAGGAAATACACAAGACAGGAGCAAACTAGTTCATATTTGTCTGAAGCCTTCCTAAGGAGGCAGCTTCTTGGGTCTGGTCAGGAAATGGCAAAGGAGATACACATGGTGGTGTCTTCCTTGTCTGCCTCCTGGCTTGGTTTGCTCCAGCAGTATCTGAGGTGTTACTCTGGGGATCAGCATTACCCGTGTAGAAGAACATGAGAGAATGGGAGTCTAAGATGCTGATGCTATTTTAGTAGTAGCATTGGCTGCAGAACTGCTCCTCTGTCCCTAAGACACAGAGGCTGTCATTCTTCATGGCGAGCACTAGGAGGCCACAGAGGCCGGAACTCTGGGAAAAACAGCACTGTGCTAACAGCTAGTTTGAGGAGGTTGGTATTTCATAATGCAATGGAGAGTGGTCTGAACACTCTTGTGGACACGGATTTTCAGTTCAGTCAGGATGCTGTTTGTAAATAGGAGGAGCTGAGCATTCTGTTTCTTAGAATTTAGTTGAACCTCTGGATACAGGCCTGATTTTACTTTAATGATTTATTTATTATGCATACAGTATTCTGCCTGCATGTATGTCTACAGGCCAGAAGAGGGCACCAGATCTCATGATAGATTGTTGTGAGCCACTGTGTGGTTGCTGGGAATTGAACTCAGGACCTTTGGAAGAGCAGTCAGTGCTCTTCTTCCCTCCCCACCTTTTTTTTTTTTAATTTAAGTTAGAAACAAGCTTGTTTCACATGTCGATCCCAGCTCCCTCTCCCTCCCCTCCTAACCCACCCTGCAGTCAGTGCTCTTAACCTCTGAGCCGTCTCTCCAGCCCAGCAGGCCTGATTTTTATGCATAGAAGTTGGATGTCTGATGGACCACACTCTCTGTATTTCTCCAGTCCATTGTGCGGATTGAAAACAAATATTTTCATAGAAAGAAGCAGCTTGGGCCACAGGCATTTTCAGATCTTCTGCTTCACTATCACATATTATTTCAAGCTTGAGCTTGTCTATCCTCCATCAAATCGGTGCTTCATCAAATGGACGTTGAGTGTCTTTGGTCTCCAGGCCCTGCTAGCTAGATGTTGGGTCACAGGGCGAATGCTTTCTATGTAGCCCTGCCTTTCCCAGGCCCCCCCCATCTCCTCTACTGATAACACGCGTAACTTTCCCCCCTAAAGTTTTACCTTTATCTTTTAAAGGTAAATGAGCATGTGATGTCATAATTCTCTTCATTTCTGAGTTGGCATCTTTATTCACCTCTGTTACCCTGAGCTCCTGGCCTGTGTATTATTTTATCCATACTATATTGATTTCACAGACCTGCCATTTTCTCTTTATTAAAATTCCAAACGGCCGAATGGCAGTTGTGCAGGCCTTTAACCTAACTAGCACTGGTGGTGGCGCAGGCCTTTTAATCCCAGCCCTGAGGCGGATCTTGGAGTTCGAGGCCAGCCTGGTCTACAGCCAGGGCTGCGTAGAGAAAGTGTATAGTCTCAACAGTCATGCTAAGTGGAAGCTTCTCCTTATGAGTTACTACTTTCTTGTATATTGGTCTTATATCCAGGAATATTGAACTTATATTTTATTTAATAGTTTTCCATTATAGTTCTCGATATGGAGACAATTATCCCTCAAAGATGCAATTAACATTTGTGTATTTTGGTGTATGTGTGTATTTTGGTGTATGTGTGTCCCTGTGTGCGTGTAGAGGGCAGAAATTGACATCTGGCGTCTCCCTCAGTCTCTCTCCACCCTGTTTCTTGAAACAAGGTCTTCCACTGAACTTGAAGCTCACAGATTGCCTAGATGGGCCAACAAGCTCCCCCAGGATCTGTCTCTCACCTCCTGCACTCCCTGTGAGAGGCTGGCCAGCCTTTACCTCTTGAGTGCTGGTATTCAAGGCATGCATCCATACACCTAGCAAGATACACACTAATTAATATATATTAATCTCAAAATGATTATTCTACCACAAACTTGTACTGTCCAGAGGGTAGGTATTTACTATTAAGACTTGGCTACTAAAATTCAGTCTAGTTGAAAATCCCTGGCCACATATAGCTCAGTAGTAAAGTATGAGGCCCTAGATGAAGTGCACTGTTCCAGCCAGTCAGTCATTACTGTTACTCTAAGCCATATGGCTGCCATATTTAATAACTACATAATTCTTTCATCAATCTAAGAATATGATTGATTGTACATTGTCTGGCTTTTATTTATCAGAGTTTTGTATTTGTACTATATATATATATATATATATATATGTAATATATTACATCCTATAAGAAAGCTGGTGTAAGCCAATCAGCATATCCCCAGGGACAGTTCTGAGGGCCCCAGTGTATTGTTTATATGATGATATGCTAGAAAAGTTATTTCTCAGATAAGTACCAGGACAAATCATAGTTACCCTGAGACTTACTTCCCAGAATCCTTAGGGATAACTTTGAAATCGGTTGTCTTTGTTGTTTTTGTTTTTCTTTGCCTTTTCTGGGAATGTAGAGCCAAAGTTACGGTACAGTTGAGGTAGTCCCCTGGCGTGTGGGTCTGTGTGCTTTGTTCCTTTCTCTGCAGTCTCGGGGAACAGCTGCCAGAAAGCCCTTCAGCTGGCTTTCCAAAACACTTTAAATTTCAAAATAGTAGTTAAAGAACTCAGTGATGGAGTTGACAAAACCCTTCAGGCCTTTCAGTATTGCTAGGGAAATTTAGCTAGGAGTATATTTGTGTCTTAGTCAAGCTGTGTGGACAGGACTTGAATAATGGTACCTTTTTGGAGGAAGGGGTTGTTCCTTGTGGACAACACAGAATTAAATTCTTAGTTATCCTTTCTCAGTGGAGAGACATACTTCTCTTTTTCATTTTATTCTGGAACTTACATGCCAGTGTGATATTTGCACATTTCAGGCCAAAAGGTAAAATACGTTTTAAAAAATAAGTTTTAAGCCTTATATGGAAGGAAAGTTGTAGAACTAGGCATTCTGTTGGGCAGGGTTGGTGAATATATTTGATTTGGGGCTTCCTAGTTGCCGAAGTGAGAAAAGGAAAACAGAATTGCATAGTTTATGTGTGTTGACAACCAGAAGCACGTAAACATCTGCAGAAACCAAACATTTCTTGGAACTAAACTCAAGCAGAAATGTGTCACGTGGACCTTTGTTTAAAGAGTCTAGTGAAAAATATCTTCAACCACAGTTACATAACAGGTCCAGGAGCACAGCGCATGTGAAATGGGTTCTCTAGGCGGTGACTGGGAAGCCCAGTGTGTGCCCTCGCAAGGCAGGTGAGTGGAAAGGATCTCAGAGACCCGAGGCCAGGGCCTGTGCTGTTTGGACATTACAGGAGGGAACTTTAGACAATCACCCTGGTTACAGGGACCTTTATTTTCTGTCAGATATGAGATGCTGCCAGTGTGGCTTTTCCGTAGCATCCAACAATGACTCCACTGCAGAGATTTTGCTTTGATGATTAATGTAAAGCTCTGAAGATAGCAAAGAGCATTTTTTTGTGGGACCATAAGGGCTGGCCTTTGCCCTCAAGAAGTCTAGTTTATTTCTGAGTAAAGGGTCCAGTAGAATCTTTACTCTTTCAAAACTTGTATCCATTCTCTTTTTTTCTCATTTAGGCTTTTGTAACAAAGTAGCTTAACGAATCATAACTAATAGGACAGAAGCAGCTTTCCCCCTCTTTCTGAGGAACAACTGTAGCCAGCTGCTCATCTGAAAGAGTATCATGGAAGGGTGGTTTGTTTTAAGAGCATGCCTTCTCTGGGGTTGACTAGGTATGATTTGAATAAGAATGCTCCCCACCCCAATCACTTCATGTATTTGAATGCTAGTCATCTAAAAAAGGTGGTAGTCCTAAAAATGTGCTTGAGGCTAAATTTAGTTTTGGATTAATGGTGTTGGCAGAGGAGATTTGAAGACCCTTAAGAGATTAACATTATCCTTGGTCTTTTGTGCTGTGTCCTCAGATGAAGGAAGGGACTAAAGTGCTCTTGGCCTTCTTTGAGAAGAGTACCAATTCTAGTCATGAGTGATGCTCCGTCCTCACTTCATGATCACTGCCCAAGGGCTTGCCTCAAATTCCAAAGCCTTGAGAATTAGTTTTCTTAATGTGGAGGGTTCAAACCCTGGCCTATGACAGCAGTGGTTACATTTCTGGAAAGCAACATTTCTGGAAAGACTCTCATGACTATTTTATTCTAATAATTTTCAATACAGTAATGTGACAATTTTGATCTAATTTCATTTTATCCAGCTACTTAGATACACTTTTTATCTGAAGAATGTACAGCACCTTCCAGTGCACCTTAAAGCAAAGACTACATCATTAATTACTTGTTAAAATAATTTCAGTTCAGTATACTCCTTAGGGAGGGAATTGTTGAAGTTGGAGTTTGTTTTGAGCTTTGTGGGTTTTTTATTACCAATTTTTTTCAATTTTTGGAAATTAGTTCAAAGCTATTGGAAAACTTCAGATGGAACATTTTTAAGTAATAAAACTTTCCTCCAAAAAGGAAGAGATTGCCATTCGTCTCAGAGACTTTGAACTTCAGGTGTTTGGATAGTGTTGAGGCTGTGGGAACTGAATGCGTTTTTGCATTATGATATGCTCCAACTTACCAGACCAGGGGGTGGAATGTGCTTGTTTTTATAAGAATGGCCCCTATGGGCTCATATATTTGATTGCTAGTAACCAGGGAATGGCACTGTTTGAAAGAATTAGGAGATGTGGCCTTGTTGAGGGAAGTGTCACTGAGGGTAGTAGGGTTTGAGGTTTCAAGAGTCCATGTCTCGCTCTGCCAAGGGTGAGGATATAACTCTGAAGTACTTCTCCAGCACCAAGCCTGCTGCCATGCTTCCCACCGCCTTGACAATGAGCTGAGCCCTGAGATTGTAGACAAGTTGCCTTGGTCATGGGGTCTCTTCATAGCAACAGTACAGTGACTCAGGATCTAGGGGACTGTACTGGCTGCTTTTGTGTGTCACAAAGAGCCTCTGCGAAACATACTTCTGCTGCAGCATTTACTGCTCTGAGTTAAACATGGAGCTGGGCACAGCCTTCTTTTAACAGACCATGCCTTGAGCCTGACAGGGTCCCCAGCAGGTGCAAAGAGCACTTCCTTGTTAGTGTCATCCAGGGAAGGGTCAGCTGAAAGGGCTAGTGTTTTCAGGTGACTGACATGAGAGTAAGCTTTGAAAAAGCATCTGTGCAAAACTTAATAATGAGGTCACACTATTTTTTCCAGAAAATACAGTGAGACCCATGTGAGAGAAGACAGTTTTCTGTTAGGGAAAACAGTGGCCGTGCATTACAGTGCACACCTGATCTATGATCTTCATAATGTTCATATGTGTGAAGACAGCTTTGCAACACACTCAGTCACTTTCATACTTTAAAAATAAGCCCAAAGTTTCAGTTCAGCTTATTAGTACCACCGTCGTTCTTTCTCTGCTCTCTCTTTGCTATCTGTGCTCCCCCGCCCTCTGTTTCTCCCTCCATCTTTGAGAAAGGACTTCATACTGATCCCAGGTTGGCCGGTGTGTAGCTCAGGTTGGCCTCCAAACCATGGCAGTCCTCCTCCCTGGGCCTCCCACTTCCCCTGTGCCCAGCTTCAGTCCTTTGAGTGTTTCCCTCTGACTGGGGGAGTGACCCGTGGTTAGAGTGCTGGCTGCTCTTGCAGAGGACCCGGCTTCATTTCCCAGCACCCACCTGGCAGATCACCACTCCCTGTGACTCCAGCTCCAGGGGGTCCTCACACACATGTGAATGTAGGCAAAACACCAATGCACATAAAACAGAAATAAATAAATGTTCCCACCTCTTTGAATCAAAAGTGTTGTTTGTCAGTTGTATGACTAGAGGCAGATTTTATCTAGTGAAGGGTCAGGCTGGTAAAAAGTAACCAGGCTGTGCCTTGGGATGTGGGTATTTAACTGTGTCAACCTAGGCTTGTGCCGGAAGGGATGTCTCAAAACAGAAAGGACATAGTTAAGCACAGAAGATCGCTGCGTCGTGTCACCCGCCATTCCAGGGCCGTGAATTAACTTGCTCTGAGCCCTCTCTAACAAACACAGAAGGAAAAGAATGGAACAGAGCTGATTTCTTTCTAGGCTCCTGATAGCTTTGTCCTGGTGTGTAATACAGCTTCTTTTCTCCCACAGGCACTTTGCTGCTCGTTAGGGTTAGAAGAATTGAGCTAGCAAGAGTCTGTACCCCTCGGCCGTACGCAGCTCACAGCCACTGGTAAGTAGGTGCTGCCCCATCCTCCTACCTGATCATTGTACAGCTTTTAAAAAACGTTGCATCCTCTGGCCTCTACATGGGTGTGCACAAGCACACACACACACACACACACACACACACACAGCAGCATCTTAGAACTTTGAAGTTTTAAAACAGTGCACTTTAATTGGGTGCTAATTGGGTGCTTTAAAATTTTGCTGCTGGAAAATAGTGGCGATTTTATAATAAATAATTTAAAATACAAGCAAATGTGTATAATTGAAGGGATTTTGAGAGAAGGTAACCCACTGATGGTAAAAGTAATGGAAACATTTCCCTTACATAATAGTTACTCTCTAAAAACATAGCAGTGTGTAAATGCAGATACTGACATGTTTAAGAGCATTCGCTGTGGTGTTAAAATGCAAACATGTAGGTGTGGCCATTGTGCCAACACTTGACAGGTCAACTGTGCCTACATGAGTGTGTCTCCACGCTGGGTGGGCTTCGGTTAACCTGAGATCCATGGCAGTCTAGAGGACATCGTGTTGATAGTTCTGTTTGAAAACGATGGTTATGTTACACTAATGCAGATAAGATTACAGAGTCCTTCTGGACTTATTTCTTAATCACAGGGAGCAGGGGGACGGACCCTGGCCTTTGCAGTTAAAGCACAGCCAGTTATCTTGATGGCAGTGACTTCCCAGAAGAGACCCTGTTTCTTCTGTTCTATTCTTGGAAGCTGTTTTTCGACAAAACTAGTAAACCAAGAGGCTGTCCTTGAGTTTTATTTTGGATTCTTTAGTTAACAACGGAGAGTAGATATTTAGGTGGTTTAATTTGGGTGCAAACATAATGCTGTCCAGTGTGGCAGCCTCTTGGCCACTGTAGCTCCTGAGCATTGAGATAGCTGTGCTGTTTGAGATGTGCTCTGCATAAAATATATACTGTTCCAAGTCGTGTGTGTGTGTGTGTACATACATACATGCATACATACATGCATACATAGATACATACGTGAAAAGACCACATAGCAGGGCATGGCTGCATATGCCTTTAATCCCAGCACTCAGGAGGGGCAGGCAGATCTCTCTGCTTTCCAGGCCAGCCTAGTCTACATAGTGAGTTCCAGGACAGTCAGGACTACCTAAAGAGACCCTGTCTGAAAACAAAACAAACAACAAAATATTTAAATTTCTCATGAATAATTTAATAATAAACTTTGAAATAACCTTTTTGATATATTAATTAAAACATTATTAAAATTAATTTCACTTCTCTGTCCACTGCTTACCATGTGACAGGTAGATTCTTCTCTTTTCTCCCTCTCCTCTCTCTTGCTCTTTTCTTTTTAAGGTAGAATTTTGCTATGTAGCCCAGGCTGTCCCTTCAGATCCCCTGCCTCTAAACTCCTGAGTGCTAGATTACAGGCATGTGTCCCTATGTCTGGGTTAGAAAGTTTTAATTATTTGTACCTTGCCTATTTCTCTTTTTTAAGGCAGGGTTTATTTATTTATTAATTCCTTTATAGGCAGGGTTTTGCTTTGCATCCCAGACTGGCCTGGAACTCACAGCCCCAATCATCTTGCCTCAGTCTCCCAAGTTCTAGATTATAATTATGTACTCAGCTTTGAATTTTATCTTTTTTGACAGGCTTAACCCTGTCATCATGTATGCCTATTCTTAACCAGTGTTCTCTACTCCTGCTTCTTGTCTGTATGGATAATTCATATAAATCTATATTGTTTGATGAATCTGATTCTCTGGTTTGCCAAGTGTTTATTGAATACCCACCATGTGCCAGACAGTCTTCCACGGCACAGTAGCAAACAGAACTCCATTTGAAACATTCTAGATCCGGATAGTAGAACAAATGAGTAAGTGGAATTTGTTTTGCGATGCAGTGTGAACTTGGGAGAACCGTGAGGCAGGCAAGGGCTGGGGACTCGGCGCCACGTGGGTGATTTCAAGAAGGTGTCCTTCACTGAAAAGCGGGGCTCCTGGTCAGAGACTGGAGGACAGCCACAGAATCGTAGTGAGAAAGTGGGCAGCAGTGTGTGTAGGCAGAGAGGATGGCAGATGCAGAGATCTTAGGATGCAAGCATGGCGGGTTCGCCTGAACAAGAGGGAGGGGCAGGTGACGGGAGTGGCGTGAGCAAAGCGTGGTCAGGAAGGGGAGAATGCAGGTGGACAGTTCGTGCTGCAAAGCGTGGTCACACCAAGAGCTCTGCTTCCAGCGAAATGACAAGGAGTTGGTGGCTTTCCAGGTCTTCTGAGGCTGCTGTAATTTGATCGCTCTGGGGTCAGCATTTACAGAGGGAAACAGGGAGACTTCCAGGGTATAGGAGTGACCAAGGTGAGAGGTAATGGTACCTGAGGCCAAAGGTAACGAAAGGAATTGAGATAAGTGTTGGCAGAGGCAATAGGGGTTGGATAGTGGCTGGACAGTGTGGTGCTGTAGAGTCTGTCAGAGACGTTCAGCAGGAGTGAACAGCCTGTCTGGGCAGTGCAGCTGATTGGTTAGACCAGGGGGGACCTTGAGGTTGATGGTCACTGGATTTAGCTATGACCTTGACAGTAGCAAGGTCAGCAAAATGGGCAGGGATAATTGGGAGATGGGGAGGATGCTAAGAAATCGAGTCTAGATCTTCTTGAGTCAAGAAGAGCCAAGGAAGTTGTTTTTGTGAAGATGAGAGAAGTCAACACCATTTCCAAGACAGGTGTGTTAGGTTTGTTTTTCTGAAACGGCTCTCCAGATTGTGACAGTGAAGGCCAACGCCTGTGTGAGTGAGGCGGGTGATGGGAACAGAACCCCTCTAAGGTGTCGTAGGCTTGCTCTGGGGTGGGAGGGGTTGGAGTGATTGAGAGGCAGGCACTGATGCCGCTAAAAGTTGTATGAAATTTGGCTTTGTTTCTCCTGGCTGAGCGCCATTTACATTCTGACAGTCAAAATTCTTAAGGAACAAATGTTAAAAGTAGTTCTTGTCAACTAAAAGTGCTGAAAGGCTGGCACTGGGGAATGATTTCCTTTATTTTTAAGGAAGTTATCAAGACATTTGAAGAAATAAATGCCCAGAGCCACAGAAAATAAAGCATTGTCTAAACATCTAGATGTGTAGATCTAATTCAAGAGTGTGTGCTGTCTTCATCTAAGTGTTCTAACGGCGGTATTGACTGTACCGGTGTCCGACACCTTTGTGAAGGCCAAATGGAGGCAGTAGGTGAGCACTTAGGGCACGTTGTAAAGTGCTCACCCATAAGAAGGACATATTGAGGTTAAGTCTAGTTGGAGGTTTGTCATCACATTTGGGATAACTGGGGAAAGTGGACGCTGACACATTCTGGGCTGATAACTAATCCATAGTCATGCTAATGGGACCTCCAGAGAGTCGCCATTTTGCCCTTGTCAGATGTGGTGGTTTGAGTAAGAATAGCTCCATAGGCTCATATATTTGAACTCTTAGTCTTAGGCTTTGTTGGAGGAAGTGTGTCACTGGGAGTGGGCTTTGGGGTTTCAAAAGCCCAAGCCAGGCCCAGTGTCTTCTTCCCTCCCCCCTCTCCTCCCCCCTTTCTCCTCTCTTCTTTCCCCTCCTATGTCCATCTCCAGATCAGAGTGTAGCTCTCAGCTCCTGCTCCATTGATTGACAGCCTCTATGTCTCCATGCTCCCCACCCTGATGGAAAAAAGACTAAACCTGTGAAATTGTAAGCAAGTCCCCAGTTAAATGTTTTCTTTAAGAGTTGCCTTGGTCGTGATGTCTGTTAACAGCAGCAGAACAGTGACTAAAACATAAGGCTAATGACAACACAGAATCAGCCCTGTTTGGGCCATCCTGGAGTTCTGTGGTCAGAGTTTTGACTGAAGTCCAAGCAGTCCATCAGTTTGTCCTCAGAAACCTCAACATTTCAGAACATCTGCTATTTGGGTGCCAGAAAGTAATGTTAGCTGACACGGTGCAGGGGCCATTCTCCTGTGGAAGACACTGCAGTTAGGAATAGTTTTATATTTCAGACTGGAGAGCATGTCTATATTTCTTCCTGAGGTAGAAGTAGATTTATGCTTTATTTTCATAGTACAGTTCTCCTTTATTTAGAGGAAATTGAAGACTGAAACATGAAGAGCCAAGCGGGCATGGTGGCACATGCCTTTAATCCTAGTCCTGGGAGGGATGGAATTCTTGGAGGCAGTAGACAGTAGCTGAGAGGGGTCTTGGGGCACCTTCTGTCTGGACCTGCCCACTGTCTGCACTGAGTCAGGAACCAAGTTCTAGACTCCAGCCATTTTGTCACTGAATCATATCTAAAATAGGAGATTGTATTTCAGTGTCTTTTGTGTAGAATCCTACATTGTAATTTTTTTTGAAGAATATCTTTTCTTTTACAGTTCCGTACAGATCCTGGTCATATCCACCCCAACTCTCCTATCACTTACTCTGCCATCTTCCAGTACATCCTACTCCTACTTTTCCTGCAATTTTAATGAAAATCAATAATCTTTAAAAAAATTCCCCAGTCTAGTACAAATGGAAGAAAATGGTTTAGAAACAGTTGTTTGAAATTCACCAAGCCGTTTTTCCTTAGTCATGGTCCAGCTATTCCCTAACCCTTTCTTCCCCTTCGAGTGAATCCCTCACTGAATGATATACAACATGCTCATATTCTCCAGGCAGTCTAACGGTTCTGAAGACACAATAGGGTTAAAGAGCGGCATGGGCTGGAGAGATGGCTTAGTGATTAACAGCACAGGTTGCCCTTCTATGTTTGATGCCCGGCACGAACATGGCAGCGTACAGCCATCCACGCAACTCCAGTTCCACGGGGATATGATGACCACTTGTAACCTCCACAGGAACCAGGCACGGACATACATGCTGACAAAACATCCACCCACATAAAGTAAACATTTTATTTTTGCAGTAGAGGGGTGTCTTACCTGCCTCTGTAGAGAGGAAGGGACGTGCACGGTTGACTGGGGAAGCCTTAGACGAGGAGGTTAAATGAGCAGTGAGGGCTTTGTTGTTG